ACAACTGGGCAACTTGGTGAGACCTCATCTCTACAGCAAACCAAAAAATTAGCCAGGTGTGGTGGCGCACACCTGTAGTTCCAGTTACTTGGAAGGCTGTGGCAGAAGGATCACCTGAGCCCAGAAGGTCGAGGCTGCTATGGCTGGAAGTGTTCCACTGCCCTCCAGTCTGGGTGACAGAGTGAGACTTCCACTCAAAAAACAAACAAACAACAAAAAAAACCATGGATAGAGAAAGAGGAAAATCTTTTTTTTTTTTTTAATTGAAGTCTCATTCTGTCATCTAGTCTGGAGGGCAGTGGCATGCTCACGGCCACTGCAGCCTCAACCCGCTGGGCTCAGGTGATCCTCCTGCCTCAACCTTCCAAGTAGCTGGAATTACAGGCATGCGCCACCATGCCCAGTTAATTTTTTTTTAATTTATTGTATAGATGAGGTCTCACCAAATTGCCCAGGCTGGTCTCGAACCCATGGGCTCAGTCAATCATCTCACCTCAGCCTCTCAAAGTGCTGGGATTATAGGTGCGAGTCACTGTGCCCGGCAAGAGGAATATCTTGACTGAAAATCTTGGCATGAGAAAGATGTGTGCAAAAATGGTCCTGAAGGAGCTCTTGCATCATAATAACGCACCAGTTCACACAGCACTGTCTGTGAGGGAGTTTTAGCTAGCAAAAAAAACTGTATTTGAACACCCTCCCTGCTCAACTGATCTGACCCCCAGTGACTTTTTTATTTACCCAAAGATAAAGAAAATACTGAAAGGAAGACATTTTGATGACATTCAGGACATCAAGGATAAGATGATGACAGCTCTGATGGCCATTCCAGAAAAAGAGTTCCAAAATAGCTCTGACAGGTAGACTAGGCACTGGCATTGGTGTATAGTTTCCCAAGAGGAGTACTTCAAAAGTGACCACAGTGACATTCAGCACTGAGGCATGTAGCTTCTTTTCTAGGATGAATTCATGAACTTAATTGTCAGACCTTGTAGTCCCCAACAATTCCTCCCATCCCTGAAAGTGAAAGACACGGATGCCATTTTCCCTCCCCTCGAATCGGGCAGGTATTGCTACTCATTTTGACCAGTAAAATGCCAAAGTGCTGGTTGGGGACTTCTGCACACCAGACATAAGAACTCTGGTTGGTCCTGCTTCCTCCTTCTGGGAAGCTAGTCGCTGGACCATGGCATAATGAAATGCAAGCCAGACTACTGCACGAAGAGAGCATATAGAGAGGGACCCTGGAGGCAGAGAGGCCATTTGAAATGTTCCAGCCTCAGCCTAGCTCCCAGCGGAAAGCAGTCACATGAGATTCCAGCCTTTGTCACTGCCCTGGCTGAGCCTGTCAAAATCCAGTGTTTGTCCAGGGGTAGTGGCTCATGCCTTGTAAGCCCAGCTACTCAGGAGGCTGAAGCAAGAGGATCACCTGAGTCTAGGAAGTCAAGGCTGAAGTGAGTATGATGGCATCACTGCACTCCAGCCTGTGTGACAGAGCACTAACCTGTCTCAAAAACAAAACAAGCAAAAAAAAGAAGCCTCGATGTCATGATAAACAATCATTTTGTAACTGGGCTTGGTGGCTCAGCCTGTAATCCCGCACCTTGGGAGGCTGAGGTGAGTGGATTACCTGAGCCCGCGGGTTCGAGACCTGCCTGGGCAACTTGGTAAGACCTCATCTCTACAATAAAAAATCAAAAATTAGTCAGGTGTGGTAGCACACGCCTGTAGTTCCAGCTACTTGGAAGGCTGAGGCAGAAGGATCGCTGGAGCCCAGCAGGTTGAGGCTGCGGTGGCCGGGAGCATGCCACTGCACTCCAGTCTGGGCGACAGAGTGAGACTCCAACTCAAAACAAAAACAAAACAAAACAAAAAAAACAATCATTTTATTTGACGCCACCTACTTAAGTCTTGGGGTGGTATGCACACAGTGACATACCTGAAACAGGAGCAAATCACAGACTGCTTCCCACTGCTGCATGCCCCTGAGACTGGGGAGGGGTTATGTTCTCGTCTCTCTTGATGCCTTGGTGGCAGGACCTGGGAAGCCGGTGGGAATCACAGCAGCTGTGCCCCTTGGAGCCTGAGGGCTCCCCCTTGGCTCCTTTTCACTGACAGGACTTTTTGCCTCCCTGGACAGGGGTGCTCTATCCACATTTGTCTGCAGCAATCAGTGACAACAACCGGAATCTCTTAGTCCATCCCATTGCAGGCTCCCAGGAAATAATCTGAGTGGCCTGGCTTGGAATAAGGGTGTGTCAATAGGACTGTGACCACATGGTATGGCAATCAGGATGAAAATGGCTGCTGTGGGGGTGACAGTGGTGGGTGGCCTCAAGGGATGGACATTAGGAGTCAAGTATGTGCCCTAAAATATCTTTGTCACAAGAGCTCTATGGAAAAATGAGTCCCTGATGTGCCCATCTTAGGACACTTGTCCCTCCTAATGGCTCTTCCTCGAATCGCAGAGTGTGGGAGGTAGGTGTTGAAGGGCCCTCCCCATCTGGCTCCAGAGGCTACAGTGGCTATGCCCTCATACATGGGCCACAGCAACTGTGCTCATAGTCAAGCTTGGCTCATAATCAAGCTTGGCTGAACAGGCCTGGCCACTGTGCACCAGGGTGGACTTCGCTAGGCTCACCACAGGACAATCCACATCAGGAAGTCAGAATGGAGCATCTTCATGTGCTCTTTTGTCTACCACAGAGGCCAATTCACAGGAGCAGGGAGGGAAAGGTTGAGCTACTACCTGGGTGAAGGGGCCTGTACAGGGCAACAAACAGGTTGCCCTAGGTAGGCAGAGGGAAGTAGGTGCTATGCTGTTGGTACAGGATGGCCAGGAGCCCCAGGGGAACCTTGGAGAGATCTACCAATCACAGCCATGAGCAATGAGCAATGAGCCATGTCCACAGACTCTTCTAGAGAGAGTGCTTCTCTACCCAGAGTCACTGCTGGAGAATTAGCCGTGCTGCAAGCCCCAGGGAGCCAATCCATAGCCTGGCAGACCAGCAGCCACCATGTGGCCTGGCATGAAAACTCCAGATTCTCAGGTGTTGCAGCAGGAAAATACAAATTAGAAATACAAATTAGATAGCTTCATCTCCGAGAAGACACCAAATGGCAGATGATACTGGCACATTGGGAGGGCCTGGAGACCCCAGAATTGGAGGCCATGGTCACTTTCGCTTCTTATTCAGCAGTGGCCTCCGGGGTTGAGGTGACACAGTTGTCGGGGTTGGGGGCAAGGTCACGGAGTTCGCAGAAGCAAGGGTGAGGACAAGGAGTGGATACCTGCCAACAAGCTGGGCAGCCTGGTCAAGGACATGAAGATCAAGCCACTGAAGGAGATCTATCTCTTCTCCCTGTCCATAAAGGAGTCTGAGATCATCGACCTCTTCCTTGGGGCATCTCTGAAGGATGAGGTTTAGAAGATCGTGCCAGCACAAAAGCAGACTCACACTGGCTACCAGACCAGGTTCAAGGTGTTTGTGTTCATCGGGGTCTACAATGGTCTCATCGGTCTGGGTGTTAAGTGCTCTAAGGAAGTAGCCACGGTCATCTGAGGGGTCAACATCCTGGCCAAGCTCTCCATTGTCCCTGTGCAGAGAGGCTACTGGGGGAACAAGGTCAGCAAACCCCACATCATCCCTTGTAGGGTAACCGGCCATTGTGGCTCTGTACTGGTGTGCCTTGTCCCTGCCTCCAGGGCCACTGGCATCGCCTCAGCCCCTGTGTCCAAGATGATGATGGCTGGCATTGATGACTGATACTCCATGGCCAGTGGGCGTACTGCCACCCTGGGCAACTTTGATGCCATCTCCAAGACCTATAGCTACTTGACTCTGACCTCTGGGAAGAGACTGTATTCAGCAAGTCTCCCTATCAAGAATTCACCAAGGCGGGGCTCAGTGGCTCAGCCTATAATCCCGGGCTTTGGGAGGCCGAGATGAGTGGATTGCCTGAGCCTGTGGGTTTGAGACCCGCCTGGGCAACTTGGCGACACCTCATCTCTATAATAAATCAAAAAATTAGCCGGGCGTGGTAGTATGTGCCTGTAATTCCAGCTACTTGGAAGGCTGAGGCGGAATGATCGCCAGAGCCCAGCA